TCCTGAGCGAAAACGGATGGCGTTAACTGTTATGGGATATCAGATATTAGATAGTAAATTTTGGATGTTGTTATTTGAATGTTGGTATTGGTTGATGGGTATCTGATGTTAGATATTTAATGTTAATTCCATTTTAAATATGTATGTGAGATATAAATATAATTGTTTAGCGTTTATGCGTTTTCTTTTATATATTTCATATATACTCACTGACAGGGGCGGAGCCAGCAAGTCATGTCAAGGTGGGAACAAATATTTCAATAAACTAATTTGTTTTTTTTACAATTAATAAAAATAAGACAATAATTTATATTTAATTATATCCTATTTAATACTTAAAAATTCAATAAACCCAACATACCAAATTTGGTAAGCTTAGTATATACAAACGATACCAAATTTTTTTTTTACAAAATATAGGCTAATTAAAATTATTTAGAATTAACTTCGGTGAATTTTCATACTTTGAAACCGTTGCATAATTACTTTATTATTTTTTATATACACCATCATTTTATCACTTTGGTCTATAGATACATAACATGTCCAAAATGTGTCAAAAAAATTTATATTTATTTGATATAAGTGTACACTAATAGATGTACAAAAAAAATAGGGTGAGCATAATTAAAAATATTGAAGAAATACTTGAAATACATATAGGTAATGTTAAGAAAAAAAAATTGAGGGTGGACAGGGCCCTGGGGCATATGCTGCCTTCGGCCATACTCTCTACTAAACCAATCAACTGTGCAAGGAATGACAAAAAAATCCAAAGAATTGAGGAATGAGATTTATTTTATTTCTTCTGGTTGGGCAACTAAGAGTGAGTGAGACAGAGAGGAAAAAAAAAAGATAACTAATAAGATAAGTGTTGCTGATGTCTGTCAAGTGAGCCAAAAATTTTGTTTTTTAATGGTGGGCCAAAAGTTTTATTTTTTTTAATAGGTTTGAATAGATTGTGATAGCTCAAAATTTGATTTTTTAATAAGTTTTAGTAGATAGTGGTGGGTTCAAATTTTTTTTATTTTAAATAGGCTTAAGTGCCCACCCTGGCCCTAGCCTCCCTCCGCCCTTGCTCACTTAATGTGTTGTTTGCTCCCCCTCCCCCTCCCCAACAATTATTTGCTTTTAGGTATGCAAATTAAGAAAGTAATTCACTGAGCAGTCTAGCTTTGACGTAGAGGCGTTGGTGATAGATTATATTTTATGTTAAGAGTCATAATATACAACAATTATAAAGATGCTTAAGGATTTGGTGTCCTAGTAGTGGTAACAAGTATACAGATTAAGAAAATAATCCACTAAGCAGTCTAACTTGACATAGAAGTGTTGGGGATAGATTATATTTTACGTTACGAGTCATAATGTACAAGAGTTATAAAGATGCTTACAAAGTTTGGTGTCCTAGTAGTAGTAACGTTGTACAATGTAATATGTTTTTGTCCAATTTCTTATTATAACGAATGGATTTTGACATTATTGTACAGAATTAGATTACTCTGAAATTATATATGGTTGAGGTTATCCACTCTCTAACTCTTTTCCGGTATAGGGTGTCACAACCACTGCTAGTGTTTTCGTTTGGACTCTGGTAAAAAAAAATTGCAGCATAACGTGGAGGCATCATGTTCACAAGGATTTTATTATAAAATTATGGACAATAAACTTCGAAGGCATTAACGTTATCCACTTCCAACTTCTGCTAAATCACTGGATTATTTGTCGCTGCACAAAAATTACAACAATCAAATCATATCTCAATATAATCTCACAGGTCAACAAGTCCACATATCATTAGCAGCTACACTCAAAAACATTGCTTCAGGAGATCACTGCCCACAATGAATTAGGCAGTTGTGCAGAGAAATGGAAAGAATCAAATTAAAGACGAAACAATTTCAAAAGAATGTGTGTCACCATTAGCAATGTGTTATAATACATCGTTATATTTACCATGAGAGAAACTGATCACCTCCATTTCGACTACTCATCCTCCGCAGGTGGTCTGACAAATGGTAACAATCCGAGGAATGCTCAGGAAAGATTCTCTCTTTGAGAGGCTGACAAGTCTCTGGGGAAACCAAGTCTGAATATCCTTGGATATAAGAACAGTTCCATGGGGAACCTGAACTTACACTGAGAGAGAGATTAAATAGGCAAATGTTATGGAAATCATCCTCTTTTATACCCTCCATGAGGCCTGCAACTTTAACATTCTCTCCTGTAACATCTTGAATGGTAATCATCTCTATTAGGGGAAGAGCATTAGGGTCATAAAACTCATCCGGATGCTCTCCATACTGGCCAATAACCCTTATAGCAACATTAACATCCATTAGAGTCACATCTGATATGAAGATATTTTTCACATAACCACCCCGCCCAGGAGACGTCTTTATTGTAATACCTGCATTTGAATTGAAGAATTGGAGGTCTTCAGCATGAACTTCCGATACACCTCCAGACATCTCACTTCCAATTGCAATGCCTGAGCTTGACCGAGTCTCTCCAACAAGCCGGTGAATAATAATATTAGTACTGGGACGAGCAAAGGAAATACCATATTCATCCCACCCACTTTTGATGGCAATCAGATCATCGCCAGTGCTTATGTAACAGTCTTCAATGCAAACGTCATTGGAAGAGTCTAATCGCATTAAAAAAATGGTCAGAACTTGATACATAGTTTAGAACCAGTTGATCGACGGAAATGATAAAGTTCATAAAACACGACATAGGAAACCAAAAACATGGGAATATACACCGCCTCAAAACTCTGATGCAACAATCACATCAAGGTTAGTTGACATTATGGCATTCAAGCAGGAAAATCTGAAATCAAAAGAATCACAAAAGCTCGCAGTTTTCCTTTTTTTTTTTTTGTCTTTTTTTGATTTTGGAACAGAAATGTGTCGCAGTGAGCAAAAGATTATACCTCGGGTTCCACAGAAATTTAACATGATCAGGATGGCTCTCTGTTATCCTAAAAATGGAAGTTTTTCAATGTTCTCCCATCTCAGAAATTCAAAAGGAGCACTCTCTGTATGCAAATTGATTTGCATTATAGGGGTCAATTTTGGAGAGCATACTGAACTGAGCCCCATTTACCAGGTAATCTCTTGAAGATATTTGGGGTCGTAACACATTCTGTTTATGTTCAGTTTTAAGAGCTAATTTTGGTCATTATTAAAACAAAAAAGAATAAATAATTCAAGAATTATTGCACTACCAGATTGTTTAAGGTATGAACACTAGCTGTGTTAATAACTAACTAAGAGAGAGAAAATTGAAAGACCGTGTGAAACTTCTTAATAACTAAGACTGGAACTAGAATACTGCATATCACCGTAAGTACAAAGGGGGAAAAAAATCCAGCCTTAAAGAAAGCTTGCCTGGATCAATCCCGTCTGTGTTTGGTGAATCAAGAGGAGCAATGATTGTTACATTTTGGACTCTAACTTGGCTGTACATCCAGAAAAAGAGTCTCAACTCTCCTAATCATAAAACTTGGCTTTTGTGCAGTTTTAAATTGGTAATAGAAAACTCTGAAGGTTAATGAACAAGGAAAAGAAATGTTCTTTAATTTTTCTGGAGCATACAGACCTGCAGTACACTGGGTGGATATTCCAGAAAGGTGAATTAAGGAAGGTCAGGTTTGAGATGAAGACACCATTTGAGTTCATCAACTCAACCAAATGAGGCCTGGTATAATCCAAGGTCTCATTTCGGAACCAATTCCACCAGACTGTGCCCTGACCATCAATAGTTCCATTATCACCTGCATAGAGAAAGTTTTGAATGGCAGGGAAGAAAACAAGACAGCATGAAGAGAACATAATCCTTTATAAATATCATCAACCTGTTATAACAACATCAGTCAAATTGTTTCCATAAAGGAGGCTTCGATGCCTTCCACCAGGTAACTCCCTACCTCGGCCATATGACGGTAGGGGATCAGTAAGTGGCCAATCATCAGAGTTCTGAAAATGCAAGACAAGCTAATTCATATTATTATATGTGATGAGACATAATATCAACGGTCACAGCAGAAAGCACTGGCCAGTGGGACTTGGAATGAATCCATCGATCTAAGCAAAGATTTTAAGAGTTTAGAGGTTGATGAGTAAGTAGCAATCCTTGCACCACAAATTTGAACATTTCCGTCATTAGTCATAATGCAGGTAAATTCAGCTTACTGGCATGGATAAGCACTTGATTGAGTAGAAATATTACTCATATTCATTACTTTTATTGATTGTTACAATTAGTAAAGACATCCTACTTTTCCATCTACTAGGCAGCTCAAATAGGTTAGCTTATTAATAGATTTCAGTTAGATGGGAAAATTGATAGCATTTCACTTAGAAGAGGGAGAACCAATTATTGACATATTTACGAAAATCTTGTGGTGTTAAAATGCTTACACAATGAGGAGAAGGCTCACCGTGGATCCAAGAATTGTAGCATCCTTATCTAAGCGCAAAGTTAGATGACTGATGAGAACGAAGCTTCCTGTTAACCACCGGCCAGCTGGGACAAAAAGCTGGGCCCCCCCTTTGTCGGCAAAGGAATTGAGATAGAAGATGGCATTCTGAAATGCTTTGGTGTTGAGGGTTTGCCCATCACCTACTGCACCAAACTCGCTGATTGAGACACTGTGAGGTCGAAAAACTCCTGAATTTGTCTGTTTGCAATGTGGCCTGCCCTTGACAGTCAATGTAGCTTCATTCAACAAGGCGAGTACCAGAAGCACATCCACCAGCTGTTTGATAGACAATATCAGTCAGTGTCACAATATGACAATGTCATCTGACTGTAAGCAATTCTTTCTTGATGCATTCTGTAATCCAACAGATGCTAAAAGTAACTCAAATGAACCTACAAGAACAATAATTTCCTAAAACAAGCAAAATATTCACAGTATAAAAATTGTGAATATCTAGTCTCAAAAACAAACTAAGAGAGAATTTTATGGTTGATGATCAAAGATTTTATGCCAAATTAACAGGAAAGCTATTAAGAGCGAGTAGCTGCATTTTACTCGAGATAAGAAATCAATTCCAGGAAGCTAGAAATAAATAACTTTTAATTAAGATCTCCACAGTCCACAATCACCCATATAGGAAAAATTAAGAAAGAAAAATTTATGCAAATTTCTAGGTTAGATCCAAACAAATTTCAGTTTTTTCTCCCTTAATTTATGGCTGAAAAGAATAATTTCAAAAGTCATTTCTTGGTTCATCTAAAGACGCATTCCCGACCTAAACATTGTTGTCGTTAAATTGAATGGGGAAAAAACAGAACAACCGTTCAAGATGCTGTTACTTTTCACAGTCAGTGCTACGGAGAGAAAGATCAAACCGTCAAGACTCCTCAACAGAAGACACAAAAAATGTGGATGAGTAAACCGAAAGAGGAAGTTGAGAACAGTGAATGCAATGGAATTGAAGACAACTCACAGTAAAAGAACCCTTCATGTGACTGAGATCTGCTAGTTCCCCTTCGGCCCAAGAACCCCAGAAGCTTAAACACACTTGTTGGAGTACGTAACCAACGCAAAGTTCGAGTTTTGAGATCACAAATAGAACAACTACTTTGGCTTCGACTGAAGGACGGTGAATAGCGTTTTTCGATCAATACCAAGATAAAGATCGAAAACAATTGGCAAGAGCGACGAGATGATGGGTTGTCATTGAGCGGAGCCACAATTCACAAGCACCCACGGCCAAAATCATTGAAAGTGACCGTTGCTGCCCGCCAAGAATGAACCAGTAGGGACCTCATGTTTATTCACCGACTCTCTCTCTCTCTCCTTCTCTCCCTCCGCCTTCTTTATGTCTCTTTCTCTCTCCTATGATAAAGACGCAGAAAGGATACCCATGATAGTGAGAATGGAGTCGAGGAAGAAAAATCAAAGAACCGAGGGGTCCGTGAAATTAATGTGTGCGCGTAACAGTGGTATGTGTGTGTGTGCGTGTCTTGAAACCAATGGTCGAGTGAGAGAGACTCGGAGAAAGATATATAGCGGATTAGGGATGGCTGTGAAGATTGAAGAATATGGGGTGGAGGAAGAAGGCGTTGGGGTGGGGGGCCGTTGCCAGCTCTCTCTCTCTCTCTCCACCGTCTTTTATGTTCGTAAATTCCGTCAATTCTCACCTTCTCAACTTTTTCTGTCGTCTCCCTCTCTGTGTCTGGCTCTCTGCCTTCTTTTAGTTGTTTTTCCTTTTTTCTTTCATCTTTCTGTTTCCCAAATTTTTGACCAATAATCGTATCAACAAAGAGGGCCGCCATTGTCAGCTCCATTTGTTTCGAGTTAAATCATAGAGGAATGACATTAGTACCTAAACTAGTGATATAATTTATTGATTTAATTTGGTGAAACATGTGAATTGATTATAAATTACATCAACTATTAGAACTCTCTCGTCATCTACCACCACCATCGTCACTATCCACCATGCCACCACTACCGTTGTTGTCTTACTACTACCACTGTCAATCATCATCACTCATACTTATCACCAAAATTGTCCTCACTCATGACTATCACTACCACCATTGTTATCCAAAAAATATTACCACCATATTCCTTGCAACCCACGGGTGCCACTACTATTGCGATCGTCGCCACCCAGTACAATCATCACCGTTTTCCACTATTGCCACCCACTATCACTATCACCGTTCATTCCCACTACAATCAGTAATTAAATTATTATTTTTTATGATTTAATTTTGAGTGTGAATACAAATATGTTTATTATTGAATATTTTTTATTACGCTGTGCCTTCAGGTACGAGAAATAACTAATGTTAATAAATTAGACCAACATAAATTTCAATTTTTATTTTATTTTTAATTAATATTACCAATTGCACCTGAGTAATGTTATGTTGACAAAATTTTGTATCTCAAATCAATGCAGGTTGTAAGATTAATAGGGTCCACTAACTCTACCAAATATTCAATATATGAGATTTTGACATATCACTTGGGATATCATATCTTGTAAACAAATTTATGTAACAGAGCTTTATCCATTGTACTTTATAGCTTGAAATATTTAAGAATTCTCATTTTGTATCCTCTAATATTAGATTTTATACACTTTATTATCAATGTACTAAAAGAGTTATAATGTGATCCTTGCATTAGTTTTCTTTGCTCATTTCATTAATGTCAATGGGGTGAGTTTTAGCAAATTAAAAAAATGGGATGGCCATATTGTAATTTTTTAATAAATTGAGAGTATAATGTGAAAAAATTAAAATTTTAGGAAGTAAAAAGTAAATTTTTTTTAATTTATATTATAAAGACAATTATATCTCAATTTTGGTCTTATTTTTTCTTCTAAGATGAAAAATGCCACTAACATGTCTACTATTTATAATTCATGCTCGTCATCAATCAACTCTTACTAAAATCTCATATAAGAAAAGTTTGGGATTGAGTTTTGCTACCACTTTAATTAAAGGGAAGAGGGGCTGGCACGAAGCCAGGATTGTTTATCAAGGGGGGGTTAATTAGTGAAGCTACAAGAAACTTGTAGTTGAATAAAACACAAAAAAGTCAACATTTATATGACACATTGTAGTATTATTTATTTTCAATAAAATTAAGAAAATTAAAATAAGCTTGTCATATTAAATAAATGTAACGTAAGTTCAAATCAATTCATCAAATAATCAGCAATTTAAACTCAATTCTTTAATAATCCTAGGAAAACTAACTTTCATTGTCTCTCCAAATTACAAAAAGCTAAATTAAAAAAAAAAAAAAGATAGAAAGAGTGTGCAGATCTCCCAATTATACATATTCTATATGGTTTTGGATCGTATATATGTAGAGTTTGTGTAAAATATATTTTGTTCTAGGAAACTACGACCCCTATATCACTTTATTCGTCGATTATTGATTTGAACAGATTGGAACCATAAGAATATTTTATTGAATAAATTTGTGTCTCAAATTTAACGACTTATGCAATACTAAATTTAATCATTTGTACAAAAATACAAATTAGAGTGATAAATATTGCAAAGCATTCAAATTAGTAATGAAGAGATAAATAAAATCAGGATCATTATCTAAAGTACAAAATATAGTCTTGAAAAGTTAAGAGGGCCACATAAAATAATATCAAAAAAATAAGCTCAAAGGTATAAAGAATAATTTTAAAAACTTGGGAGGGGAGACTAACATAATTTTAAAGGTGTAGCATCTATAATAGAACATGTAAAACTCTATAATTTTAGTTATTCAAAAGCCAAAAATATGCTCCAACATAAGATATTCATAGTCGACAAAATACATTTTTGCTAGAATGATACTCTATATTTAGAGTATCACTTTAGCATTATATAAATAGTTTATAATATATTCTTTCTCGTCTTATCATTTTTCACCTCTCTTGTCCACTTTTTATCTTTTTCTCTATTTTTTTTATCTTTCTCTCTCCCTTTAATAGTCTCAACAAAGGGACAAAATATGAGAAATAAGATTTAAAAATAATAGTTAAAATATAGAAAATATGTTGGAGTATGTATTAAAAAAGGGAATAGCTAAAATAGAAAAAATGCACTTTTGGATAGTTAAAATACAAAATCTTGTTAGAAATGCTGTTACACATAATTATGGAAACTTGAGGGAGGGGGTGGGTTTGATCCAGGGTGAAGAACAAGCTATTTAAAACAATTAAATATCCCCAGCAAAAAAAAAAAAAAAACTCTTAAAGATCATGCATTGTTGGAATTGCCAGGTTGGTTTGACAAATTTAATTGCCATGTTCCAACAAAATTTACCGGAAGAAATAATGACTAGAGTAAGGAAAAGAATAGAGAAACTAAGAGAGAAAGAGAGAGGAGTGGGCCTAGATATTGGTTTCTATTTGAGATTTCAGGGGCGGGACCTTTTTTTGAAAATATAAGATAAAAAGTAGCACATTTAAAAATATAAGTCAAAAAATACACAACACATAGTTAATGTCTAAACTACCCCTTCTATAGAAGGGGAACAGTTGCCTAAATGCTTGCCTGCACATCCGAAACCAATGGGATATATGCTGAGAAAACTTCCCTAATCAGAGGGATATATCCAAAACCAAAAAGATATATACCCATAACTCCGTCAATATTGCTAGAATGTGGGTTCTTCCAAGATTGATGAGAAAACTTCCTTAAAATCATCATTCTTTTAAAACGTCCTGTTAAAATAGATTTTTTTTTATGGATTCACTGTGAATAAGTGCATCGGTGGGTATTAGACTATACCAAAATTTAATCGTTGGAGAAGAAGGTTTACATTGTGGTGAAGAATGACTGATGGTGCATAAATCGGTATTGCGCAAAATCAACAGTCAAGTACATCAAGATACACAATTAATGAGCAGTAAATAGACAATCAATGACAGAATAGTAAATATGGAATCAACATAGAGATTTATAGTAGTTCGGTCCGAGTCACCTACTCTGTTCTCGGGAACGGTAGCGGGAGCCAGAAATCTTTATTGATGAATAGTGTAACCGGGAGAATATACTCCTGGAGTATTACAATGGTGAGGAGAGAGAAGCAATATGTGTAGGGAGGTGTAGTGTGTGTAGGGATATCAAAGGCCTGTCCAAATGTCTCTCCTTGTGGAAAGAGCTTATATTATATTGGCTCAACAAGGCGGTGAGGAGGTGACGTGAAGGAAAGGGTTTCTACCATCTTAGTAAGTATAATTATGGTAGGATTAGAAGATCTCTCTCCTCGTGCCCTTATTCCGTCAGGGGAGGATCCTGAGCTTGGTTGGACTTGATCTTGAACTTGAACTTGAGTTGGAGTGGCAATGTGAAGGAGAGGGAGCATGGAACAAAAGAGAGGAGGGGTCCCCTCGGGGTGGCCTCCTTGGGCGGCGCCCCTTGGGGTGGTCTCATTTGGGCGGCTTCCCTTGGGGTCTTTTTCGGGCGTTGATCACTTGAACTCTTCTTGGTGCATTAGGCTTGGGCTCCTCTGGGTACTGATGATTTGGACCTCTCTTGATTTACTTCTATTAGGCCTGGTCCAATTTATTTTAGACTCATCATTTGCCCCCAATGTCCCAAACCTCTGACTTTTTGCTAGAAGAAGGGGTTGAGGGCATGTGCTTCATCTTCAGTGACTCTACTAAGTTTACAAATATCAGATTTTTTTTTTTTGGCGTTGGCCTCTTTTTCTTTTCTTGGGCGCTGGCCTCCTTGGGCACTACTCCCTTTGTCTCTCCTTTTTTTTTTCCTTTTCTTTCTTCCTTGGGCATGGGCCCCCCTGGGTACTACTCCCTTTGTCTTTCTCTCTCTCTCTTTTTCTTTTCTTTTCTTTTCTTTCTTCCTTGGGTGTGGGCCTCCTTGGGCGTTGCTCCCTCTCTCTCTCTCTCTCTCTCTTTTCTTTCTTCCTTGGGTGTGGGCCTCCCTGGGCGCCGCCTCTTGTTTCTTCTTCTTCTTTTTTTCTTTCTTTTTTCTT